TCATAATAAAATTCGTAATAGATTACAAAATATACGTGTTAAAAAATTAGTTTATATTTATGGGAATCTTCGGATTTATAAAGGACCTTTAAAAATTATTAATTAAATTAGTGATAATAGTGAAAATGAAGGAAATAATGATGTAAGTGATTCTGATGAAAGTAATCATGGGTTTGAATATAATGTATTAAATTTAGATGAAGAATAAATATAAATATATTCAATAAAAATTTTTTTTCGAAATTTTATAAAAAAATATATATGTTAATTAACGGTTAATTAACCGGTTAATTAACCAAATCATAAATAATCGTTATTTTACCATCCCTAACTGTATACTTTTTAAAGATCAATAATATCGCGAAAAACTTTTCTAATTTGATAGTTACAATTTGATTGGTTGATTTATGAATAGTTTTGATCAACACAAATTTTATTGGTCATAATTTTGTTGTAACCTTATCTTATTTAAGATGGAAACTTTTAAAGAAAAGCTTCAACAATTAAAGTTGCTTTTACCAGGTGCTAGAGAACAAAATTTGTCTGTCTCGCTTAGACTTAGTAATGGAGAGGTAGAAAAGGCTTTAAATATTTACCTTGAACAAAGGGAAAGACACGATAAAAGTCCATTTGAATCGAAACAATCAAAATTAGAATCTTTTATTAAAGAGAAGCAAGCGGATAATAAAGATATTGAAAAAAACGATAATAATCCTTCCTCAAATAAGAGGAAGATTGAAGGTTTAACAGAAAAAACCGTTAATAAAGATAGTAAAAAATCATTAAATTTACAAGAAGCTTTGAGATGGCCATCTAAAACAAATGAACCTACAGTTGAAAAAAGAATCCGATCACAAACATTACGCTTATATCGACCGGAAGACATTTCTGTTAGGACACCTTGTACACTCATAAATAATGTGCTACCAAAAGAATTGGCAAATTCTTTGTTACGAATAATGTTGAAAGAAAGTGATACTTTTAAACGTAATCAAGGGTTTTTATTTGGGCAATTATCTACTACGCCTCACACTAGTCAATATTATGTGTCGAATGAAATGAAAGTAGAGAGTTCAAATGCACGCCATTTTCCACCGGAAATGGAGCAAGCAAAAATCATTATAATGAATGTAATCAATGAAAAACGAAAGGAACGAAAAATGTAAGTACAAAGTTTTTGATTAATCTGTCACATTGAAGTAATGTTGTTATATCTCGTGTTACAAGATATGAATATGAAGAGCAAGGAGATTGGAATCCAAACATTGCTGCGACAAATTGTTATGCTGATTCAAAAGGTAACGTATATGACCAACTTAATCCTTTTTTTAAAAAATCCGAAACGTACGTATTTTTAAAATACTAACATCCATACTTTATATTATATGTTAGAATGTGTTAATTGGCATAGTGACAAAGTAATCATATTTTTTTATTCCAATATTTTTATTTTACGTAGCTAATAAATTAAATTTATATTAAATAGTTAACTCACCTTGGCCCTCTGCCCATTATCGGGTCACTTTCTTTGGGAGTTACTCGCCAATTTCGTCTTCGTCGATTTGGTAATGATTCATTGAATATAACAAAACCATCATCTCCATCTACAATCTATTCAATTCCACTTGTACACAATTCACTTATTATAATGTGGCCTCCTTGCCAAGAACTTTGGAAGCACGAAGTTTGTCCTCAGAATTCTATTGACCAACATCCCATAGCGGGCTCTAAACGTATAAACATCACATTTCGTCAATTTCGCGATGAATATGGGAATGAAATGACTCCTATCTGTAATCATGGTGAGCTATGTATGCTCAAACCTGTATTCAATGGACGTAATGTCGGACGCTATTTTTATACTTGTAATGCTGGCGGTCCAGAAGGAAAGTGCGATTTTTTTGAGTGGTTGAATATTGACAAAAAAAAAAAAGATTTTGAAGAAAGGTTGAGAATTTTGGAAAACAAAAGGAACCCTGATAAATGATGCTGGATATATAATACACTCAACAGCATCGGAAAATTTGCTTAGCGCTTATTGATGATATTATTTAAAATATTGTATAAAGTACTTATTGGATCTTCTAAATTATTAATTTACAATTTTTTTTTAATAAATAAAAAAAAAGATAAGATAAAATAAAATAAAATGATATTTCCAAAAAATAATTTTAATTTATTACAAGATTTTTTTTTTTTTTTATTATTACCTTGATAAAACTCAATCAATAGATTAGTTTTATATATATATATATATATATATGTTTTTGTGTGTGTGTGTATAATTTTTCCCAATTATAATATTCTCGCTTATGGATAAAATATATTGAATGATGCAAATTTTTGTATAAATCATATGTCCTTAACAAATGAATAAAAATGAAAGAGCAAACAAAATGTCCTTACTGCCCTATAATAGTAGTAGTACCATCCAACTTCAATATATTTCATAATGTTTTCGTATTGGTCTAGTGAAGAACCCTTTTAAGAAAAATATAAAAAAATATAAAACAGAAAAAATAAAGATAAAAAAAACAAATTTCATATCCTTTCAATTAATCGCGGTCAAATATATGTTTACCACGTTGTTGGAATTGTGTCATTGGTTTACCGCTACCGACCACGCCGACTACCAAAAAAAAAAAAAGATATAGATATATTATGCACCATTGCGACTAGAAGAGATCTTGTATGATTTTGATTGAATTTGAATTAACTCACCTTTGCCTTCCGGATTTTCTGGAGTAGCAAAGATACTCTTCTTGTTTATTGGTGGTTGCACCAGCCTTTTTACTTTCGTTGTTCTCTTGCCAGGAGCTGTAGCTGAACCACTTGCAAAAGCAAGCCAAGACTTTTGTTTCAAATTTTGTTCATTAACTTTCTTTTGTCCATCACTACTTTTCTTTTTCTTTTCTTTATCCTTTTTATCCATTGAATTTTTTCTTTTACTTTTTTCCAGAGGTTTAATATCTTGAACATTAACAAGTTCAATATTATTATAACCTTTAAAAACAACCGAAAAAACTTGATTACCACCACCAATAGCTGTTATTTGAGCTTGATAAAATTGTCCATCGCCAGACCAGCGCGCCAGACAAGAATCTCCAACTTGAAGTGGTTTTGTAAAAGTTGGTAGAGAAGTTAAAGTTGGTGTAGTTGGCGTTGAATTGTTCCTAGGCGAAACCGATGAAGTTGACCTTTTAGAAGGTGAAAGTGTTACCTCTTGATCAATAAGGGTGGTAGTAAGTGTGATAAATTCTGTTAGATCCGTTTTAAGCTTCAAGAGTTCTGAATTTTCAGGTTCACTCTTTAAAGCAAGATTGACTTGGTCAAGTTGATATTGATATTGTGCAATTTCCTCGGAGTTCATGATGCTTGAATTGTTCTTTGGTTAGATATCTGTGAACTGAGAATATTTGGTCGTTACACGAGAATCCGGAACCTTTTTTCACTTATCTCGGGTTTCACAGATTTTTTGGTTTTTTTTTTTTTTGGAAATGAAAAATAACAAAATCTTTAATTATATTAGTTACAATATTTACCATAATTAGATTATTTATATTTAAATATTCCTAAATAGTATAAGACTTTTCTGATTATAAACAAATTATTTTTAAATTTTTTGATAATATTTATATTATAATAAAATAATAGATTGAAATAATAAGATACTATAAAAATATTTTTATCTATTACAGCTAATTTTATAATCTATGGACCATTAATAATTTTTCAGTCACATTCAGTCACAATATTTTATAGTAATTTTATTATAAAATATTTTCAGTCACATTCAGTCACAATTTATTAGTAGTCCATGAATTATGAAATTAGCTGTAATTTAATAGCTATATTTCTTAAAAAAAAGTATTCAGACATAGTTTTTTTTGAAATTATATAAATCCTATATAATAATTTTAATAAAAATAATTATATTAATATTAGTATATATCTTAGGTTTTAATAAATAACATATAAAATTTTATAAATAAAATAATTCAAAAAAAATATAATTGTAATCAGATTTATCAATTAAAATTTTCAAATTCTTAAAAATATTATTTCACAATTTATTTAATATTTAGTAGATTATTTATTATTAAAAATATATGTTTAAGTCTTCTTAGAATGTTTTAATTTAATTATTAATAGTTTTATAAGAAATTTGAATCTTATTTAAAATAAGAATTTTGTAAAATATCGCTAATCCTTCAAAATCATGTAATTTAGATCATTATATAATATATTTTTATAATTTATTACATAATAATAAAGTATATCTTAAAAAATATATTATATAGCAAATCTATTATAATTTTTCAATTATAATCCTAACCCTAATTCTGAGCCCTAATTCTTAATATCAAATCCTAAATCCTAATTTATAATCCTGAACTTTAACTATAAATCTTAAACATTAAATCCTAAACCCTAATCCTAAATTCTAATCACTAAACTTTAATCTTAATATCAGACCCTAATCCTAAATCTTATCTAACATAATCCCAAAACTTAAGACTAATTTCAAATAAAATTAGTAACATAATTATAAAGAATTAATAAATCCTAATATGAATAAATCAAAATTAAAAATTAGAATAGAAGATTAAATCCTAATAAGTACAAACTAAAACAAGAATATAAAACCAGAAATATATTTTTAAAGATAATTAAATTCCAATACAAATAAACTAAAATCAAAGATTAAATAAGTGATTAAATTCTATAATTACAATCAAAATAACAAACTAAAAATTGAAAGAAAAAATAAGTGATTAAATCCCAATAAAAATGAATTGATTAACAAATAAAATAAGCAAATAAAAAAAATAATAAACTTTTAATGAATTATGTTACTAAATAAATAATTAATTTTTATGTCTTCAGTATAACAATTATTATTTTCCTTCTTTTTCTTTGAGAAATATATTTATAATCATAATAATTATATTAAAATATCCTAATTTAAATTCTAACTCCTAACTTTATTTTAAATACCTGTATTATTCACTAATTTGAAATCAACTTTATTTATAATAAACTTGTGCTAAAAGTTTATGTAAAATTTATGATAAATATAAGATAAACTTAAGATTATTAATGTAAAAATTGTGATAAATATTAAAGAAAAATTTGTAGTTAATGTAAAAAAAAATATAATAAATAGATATTATAAGGATATTATTATAGTGAAGAATAATGAAATATTAAGAAAAAAAAATTTAATTAAATAAATAATCTTAATTATTAATTTCATCATAATTTATATCACACAGATATTATGTAATAACTAAAGATATGTACCATAATTAAAAAAAAATGGCATAATTGAGTTGTAATTTATGGCATAATTAAATTTTTTTATAGCACAATTAAGTTGCAATTCAATTGAAATTTGAAAATAATTATGGAAGCTATCTTTAGTAATAACTAAGAACTAATAATATATTACATATATAATAAAATTAGAGTTCTGAATGAGTCAGATTAAGTGAGTTTTTGTCAAACTCAACTCGACTCCACTTATTCGTACTAATAGAATAATAAATTATCATTTTATAAAAATGATAAAAGAATCATTCTGATAAAATAATAAAAAGAATTATTTTAAAGAAATGATAAATAAAATCATTCTGATATAATAATAAACATCATTTTAAAGGAATGATAGAAAAATCATTCTAATAGAATAATAATGCATCATTCTAAAGGAATGATAGAAAGAATCATTTTAATAGAATGATTAAATATTATTCTAAAGGAATAATAAAAGAATCATTTTGATAGAATAATAATGCATCATTCTAAAAGAATAATATAAAAAATTATTTCAATAGAACAATTAAACATCATTTTAAAGAAACATAATTTCTTAAGAATAATAATAGATCATTCTTTTTGAAACGATAATCGAATTGTTTTTTAAGAATGATAATAGATCATTCTTTTAGAATGATAATTGAATCGTTCCTTAAAAATAATAATAGTTTTTTTTTTTTGAAACAATAATCAAATCATTCCTTAAGAATAATAATCAAATTGCTTCTTTAGAATGATGTATTATCATTCTATTAGAATAATTTTTTTAATTATTTTTTAAGAATAATGTATTATTGTTCTATCTGAATGATTCTCTCTATCATTCCTTTAGAACGATGCATTATCATTCTATTAAAATGATTCTTTCTATCATTTCTTTAAAACAATATATTATCGTTCTATCAAAACAATTCTTTCTATCATTTCTTTAGAACGATATATTATTATTCTATTGAAATAATTTTTCTATTGTTTCCTAAGAATGATATATTATAATTTTATCAGAACAATTTTTTTATCATTCCTATAGAATGATAATTTATCATTCTATCAGAATGAAACTTCTATTATTCTTTTAAAATTATGTATATCATTTATCTAAATGATTTTTTTATATTTTCTTTAAAAAATTTGTTAAATTTTTATTTGAGTTCAGCTCGACTTTAGGCTCGAGTTATCTTGAGTCAAGTCAAGTTTAACTTAAACTCAACTCAAGTTAAACGAGTCAAATTTTTTATGACTTGACTCAATTCAACTCAACTCAATTCATTTGACTTGAAATTGGCTCAGCTCATTCAAAACTCTAGATAAAAGACAATTCTTTTAAAGTAATTCTAATTCTATAGAATTTTTTGAATAACAAAAATATTTTTCCAATTCATTATATAAAAGTTTAATTGGATTAAAATCAGATTAATTAGATAAAATCTTTACTTTTCTTCTTAATCTATTTAAAAACATTTTTGTTATATATTAAAGCTTTACATTAGCTAAACTGATTTATAAGTCTTATAAGCTGACTCATTAAGGTTCAGATTAAATTAGCTTATAAACTAGTCAATCTAACTTATATTATAGTTCAACTTATAATACAATTTAACTAAATAACTTTAATTTTTCAAAAAATTTTTAGAAAAATAAATAAAGTATTCAGTAGTATTTTAATTAAAGAAAAATACATTTAAAATATTAAGCTTGAAGAACAGCTATTAGAATATAAATTTTAAAGAAAAACTCTAAAACATTAAATTTTTAAAAAAAGCTTTCAGAGTATTAATCTTTGGAGAAAAATACTATTAGGGTGTATTTTTTTAAGAAATACTTTTAAAGATTTAAAAAACATTTATTTACAACATTTTTTTGAAAAAAAAATATTTAGTAGTTTTTTCTTAGAAATTAATATTACAAAAGTATATTTTTTCAAAGTTAATAATACTATAGTAGTAAATTTTAATACTCTGATAATATTATTCTTTAAAGTTAATACTTTGGTAACATTTTTTTAAAATTAATTCTCTGGTAGTATTAAAATTTCAAATTAATGTTATGAATACATTTTTCTTTAAAAATTAACACTCTAATAGTATTTTTTTTTAAAATTTAACCACTTTAATAGTATTTTTTTTTAATGTTAATATTTTAGTAGAATTTACTTAAAAATTAACTTTCTGGTAACTTTAAATTTTAAAAAAAATGTTTTAAAGATGTTTCTTTTCAAGAGAATTATTTTAGAAATTTTCTTTTAAAAAAAATCATTTTGGAGACTTTTCTCTTAAAGAAAATTATTTTAAAGAAATTTTTTTTTAAAAAAAAAATATTTATATTAAAGAAAAATTATTGATTAAAAATATGTAAATATAGATTATCTCAAATAATTAAGTTTATATCTTAGCAATTTTGAAAATGATTTGAATTATAAAAAAAAGAATTTGTATGATTTAGTTATTAAATAAAGATGATACTATAATTAAAAAATTGCAACTCTTTAAGTTGTAACTCCTTATATAATTTATTTTAATATAAAAATTTATAAATAGTTATAAATAATTAAAAATTTTAAAATTAATTACAGCTTTATTTTTTTATTAAGTAAACAAGTTTGTAAAAAAAGTTATATAAGTTTCATTTAACCTAAAATATCAAAAAAAATTAATAAAATTGTTCAATTTATTAGAGTTTGTTTAAAAAATACAACTTATATTATATATAGCTAGTATTTTACATAAATTGGATCAGATCAAATTTAGGTAAATCTGATTTGATCTGAATCTAAAAAATTCTAATCTGATTTGATCTAAATCTGATAAATTTGAATCTAATCTAAATCTAAATCTAAATCTATAACTGATAAATTTGAATCTGAATTAATAGATTAAAAGTTTTTTTTTCTAATCTATTTTTAAGTAAAAGTAACAATAAATCAATGTTTTTTTAATAAAAAGCTGCCTTTAACATTTGAAATAGCTTTTTATTATTAAAAAATAACAAATTTATTTTAAAACAAAAATCTACCTTTGATATTCAGAATAGTATTTTATTGTTAAATAAAAA